ATATTTACCCAGATGATCAAATTCTGGGCCATAAAACATATCTTAATAAACTTAAAAGCAGCCAAGTCATATAAAGTACGTTCTGTGGCTCCAATTGAATTAAATCAGAAATCAATACTACCAAGATCTCTGGAAAAATCCCAAATATTTAGAAACTAAGTTACACACCTAAATGACTAATGAGTCAAAAAAGAAATTAAAATAAACATTTTCTAGAAAGTAATTTAAACTGAATAAACATGGAACTACAACCTACCCAAATGGTTTTCAAATGCTCTACTTTTTCATTTGAAAAAAGAAGATATTTTACAATTTTGGCACTAAGATTTATGGAAGGATCAAGCCCTCAAAATTTCTGATCCAGACCTTTCCCACCATCTGTATTAAGACTGGGGCGCTGATTACATGAGGATGGCAGGGCCAGAAAGGGAGTCTGAGGAAGCTCGAGCTCTAAACTGGGAGAAAAACTGTGCAACCCAAAGTTAACAGAGCTGCACCGGTCATTCTAATAGTCACAGAAAAGGAAACATATCTCCAAAATCAAAAGCGACACACAAAAGCAACATGCTTTAAAGATGTGAGCAAAATCTGTTTTGAACAAAATAATATAGAGGTAGTAGTACCTACCGCATAGGGTTGCTGTGAGGATGTAATAACATACACAAAGCCCCTAATATGGTCTCTGGCATGTAGTGGGTGCTTGGTGAATGTTAGCTATGCTCACAGCACATGTTTTCTTGAGTTTGATGCTACGAGTAATAACTCCTGTGTATTATTATATTTTAATTAAAAATGACACGTTTTAAAAAGTGTGCTGTTATCTTCCTATGTAAAACAAAACGTTGTCCATACATAGTAAGTATAAGTTTTGTCACTAAACCCTTTTAAAGTATAGAAGGAAATATCTTCTTTCCAATTTTCACTGGCCACTTTAATAAAATTCTCCTCTAGACATCAAGTCCAAAGAAAGCAAAGTTCACACTCTAAATCAGGCCACTGGGAAGGGTTTGTTTAATCACATGCCATCTGGGGCAATATTCACTCTGGACCTCTGGAATTACCTCCTTCGGTTGTGCTGGCCAGAATCCAAGGGCTCACTGCAGACCAGCCTATTTCATTCATGCAGGAAACGCCAATGCTGTAATTAGCCAGGGCTTGCAGCTGCTCAATTTGGTACAGATGTGGTGAGGCAGAGGTGTTAAAAATCATGACTGAGCCATTACTCAGTGGATCAACTTCCTTGACCTGAAGAAAGAGTAAAGATGTGGACCAGGCATTAGTAAGGTGGTGGGAATGTTAGACACGGGCAACACACGTGCTCCGGGCACGTGGCCCTTCCTCTGAGCTGAGGGGAAGGACCTGCTTCCTTCCTGGGCACACACGAATTTCCCCACCAGCATTACTGTGTATGACTCATGCCTCTTGAGCCACAGCTGAGGACCTGAGGAACATGCCCACAATAAGGATTCTCACTGTGGCAGGTAACAGAGCAAATAATTGTCATTATAAAGTTATAATGATTATAATTCATATTATATTATAATGTAAAATAAAGTAGCACCTCCTCTCTCAGAACTACCTCAATTCTTGGTTTATTTCCGCTGTTTTACAGAATATGCAACAGAGACAACAGACACTGCATGAATCTGGCACGGCCTCAAATATTTACTATCTGGCCCTTTAAAGAANGTACCTTTTTCCTTAAGCATACCTCCTGTCTGGGAATGGGTCCAAGAGAGAGTGTAGGGTTTTTTTTCAAAATTTCTACAATACGTACTTCGAAAAAGTTCATGGAAAAATGGAATTAAAAATAAAATGAATCTTTCCATGAACTTTTTGAAGACACTTCATACTTAGAAAATCGGAAAAGACAAAATGATATTGGGTAAAACAGAAGCAACCAGAAACAATTTGGGAAAAAAAATTTTCACCCACAGAATGTATTCCTGTTAATAATGGGCTTGCAGTTATCGGGTATGGATACACATTGCTGTTATTTCAGGACACGTGTGTTTGATATCGAGTCCAAGGGACCATAAACAAACATTTTGGCATTCCAAATCCCCTGGTGGATACCATGAGGGTGGTACTGGGGCTGAGTTTCACCTCTCTGACCCTGTGGGTGACAGGAAGGTACCAGATGGCCTGAGGAACCACCAGAGGAGAAATAAGAAGCTGTGTGCTTATCTTGGTGGTGACTGTTAGCAGAAATTACTTTTTGTTTTCTCATGTTAGACTATGCACCTACTTCCTGGTGACCAACCACTAAAAGTAAGGTGGAGGAAACCTTTGGCTGTCTGACCCCACCCTGTTTCCGGAGCCATGTGAGAAGCATTTCCAGGCACAGGGACATTCTTTGAGAGGACGTTCCCCAAAGATTACGGAGTTCCTTATAACAGCCCTTCTCAGTGGGTCCTAGGGGAAAAGAGGGCATAAAATGGCAAAAAGTACGTGGGAGAGATAAAAATAGAAATGGAATATGTGGCCCAAAAATGGGTGAAGAAAGGAACTAACATCAGGAGCAAAGGAAGTGACAGGGTGTGCCCTGCTAGTGTGTGGATCTGAATCTCATCCAAAACATTCATTTGTTACCAAGTCAGAGTTTAAAATTGTAATGAATTATAAAACCATACTTGGTCCCTTCAGGAATGGGAATACGTTGTTCATTACCAAAATATAAAAGTCTAACTTCAAGAGCCTGTGCTGACCAACCCCGCTAGGACTACCAGAGAAAATAAAGGATACCCAGTTAAATCTGAATTTCAGATAAATAAGAAATAATGTTTTAGGTATGATTTTTGATAGGTATATCACAAGATTATAACTCATGTAATTTAACTGGGTGTCCTGCATTCTTATTGCTACATCTGGCAACTCTGTCAGAGATGGAAAGGCAAATGGGTAAAGGGAGGTTGAGCAAGCAGGTGGGACAAGGACAGAATGACCATGTACAGTATCACCAAATCCAAGGTAGGCAAGAGGGGCCTGTCATTCGGCTGTCTCAGGATGATTTTCCATGTGTGCCATGGCCACCCAAATACACAGCAAAGAGAGAGCAGGTGAAGCTTCTGGGTGAGCATTTTCCACCTTTAGGGGTACCTTTCCAACCATCCTACCCCACCTCATGTCTGCCCTAAGACCCACCCAAGGTGGGGGCAGCTCTCTTCCTTAGAGTCTCCCTGAAGTCAAGCATCCATTGTGGGAAGGTGCCTCATGTCCTCTTAGAGTCTTCAGACAGCTCAGCAACTTGGTAACGGTTTTAAAAATGACTAGTCTGTGCTTCAGTTATGCCCATATATATTAATGTCTACTTCCAGGGAAATGGGTCTTGGTTGCTTCTAACAATGGAAGACCAAAATACATAAAGCAAAAATGGATAGAACTGAAGGGAGAAACAAACAATTCAAAAATAAGAGCTGATGCCTCAATTCTCCACGTCCAACGACAGAGCCACTAGGCAGAAGATTAACAAGAGAACAGAAGACTGAACAAGACTATAAACCAACTAGACCCAACAGACATATGAAGGGTCTTCAAAAAGTTCATGGAAAATGTGTATTATAAAAAAATTATGCATGGATTTCAAAAATCTTTTGCACCAACATAAACTTGTACTAATTGGTTATAACATGTCTGAACAGGATCTAGTTTGAGGCACAAAGAAGGATAAGACATTGGTTTTATAAAAAAATTATGCATGGATTTCAAAAATCTTTTGCACCAACATAAACTTGTACTAACTGGTTATAACATGTCTGAACAGGATCTAGTTTGAGGCACAAAGAAGGATAAGACATTGGTTTGAAAAGAGGCCCTACCAGAGCAACATGAATTGTGTTAAAATTGAAGCAAGAATAAACATCAAATTTAAGGTGAAGCTTGGGTGGAAGAATGGTGAACTCACTGATGCTTTACAAATAGTTTACAGGGACAATGTCCCGAAGAAATCAGCAGTTTACAAATGGCTAACTCATTTTAAGAGGGGACGAGGCAATGTTGAAGATAAAGCCCACAGTGGCAGACCATCCACATCCATTTGTAAGGAAAAAATGAATCTTGGTCATGCCCTAATTGAAGAGGACTGACGATTAACAGCAGAATCAATAGCCACAGACATTTCCACTGGTTCAGCTTACACAATTCTGATTGAAAAATTACAGCTGAGTAAACTTTCTCAATGGGTGCTAAAATCATTGTGCTCAGATCAGCTGCAGACAACAGCAGAGCTTTTAATAGAAATTTTCAACAAGTAGGATCAAGATCCTGAAGCATTTTTTCAAATAATTTTAAGAAGAGATGAAACACGGCTTTACCTGTACAATCCTGAAGACAAAGCACAATCAAAGCAATGGCTACCAAGAGGTAGAAGTGGTCCAGTCAAAGCAAAAGTGGACCAGTCAAGAGCAAAGGTCATGGCAACAGTTTTTAGGGATGCTCAAGGTATTTTGCTTGCTGGCTCTCTGGAGGGCCAAAGAAAGATAACATCTGCTTATAATGAAAGTGTTTCAAGAAAGTTAGCCAAAGCTCTAGCAGAAAAATGCCCAGAAAAGCTTCACCAAAGAGTCCTTCTCTCCCATGACAATGCTCCTGTTCATTCCAATCATCAAGCAAGTGCAATGCTGTGAGAGTTTCAGTGGGAAATCATTAGGCATCCACCTTATAGTCCTGATTTGGCTCCTTCTGACTTCACTTCCTAATCTTAAAAAAATCTTTAAAGGGGACCCATGTTTCTTCAGTTAATAATGCAAAAACAACAGCACTGACATGGTTAAACTTCCAGGACCCTCAGTTCTTTAGGGATGAACTAAATGGGTGGTATCATCACCTACAAAACTGTCTTAAACTTGATGGAGCTCATGTTGAGCAATAAAGTTTATATTTTTAATTTTTATCTTTTAGTTTCATTTTTTCATGAACTTTTTGAAATCCTCAAACACTTCACCTAACAACAGCTGAATATACATTTTTTTCTCAAGTGCACATGGAACATTCTCCAGGACAGAATATATGCTAGGCCATAAAAGAAGCCTTATTAAATTTTTTTTGGTTTTTTTTGTCTTTTTCGTGACCGGTAAGGGGATCACAACCCTTGGTGTGGCGTCGCCTGCACTGCGCTCAGCCAGTGAGTGCACCGGCCATTCCTATATAGGATCCGAACCTGTGGCGGAAGCGTCGCTGCGCTCCCAGCGCCGCACTCTCCTGAGTGCGCCACGGGGCTGGCCCAAAGCCTTATTAAATTTTAAAGGATTAAAATCATACTAAGCATATTCTCCAAACACAATGGAATCACATTAGAAATCAACAAAGGAAGAAAATTTGAGGAATTTACAACTATGTGGAAATTAAACAACACACTCCTAAATAACCAGGAGGACAAAGGAGAAATCACAAGGAAAGTGACAAAACATTTGAAATGAGCAAAAATAAAGCAAAACAAAACCTTATGAAATGCAGCTAAAGTGATGCTTAGAGGGAAATGTCTGTATTAAAAAAGAAGAAACCTCAAATCAATAACCTAAACCTCCCCCTTAGGAAACTAGAAAAAGAAGAGCAAACTAAGCCAAAGCAAACAGAAGAAAGGAAATAAAGACTAAAGTGGAAATGAACCAAATAGAAAAAATTCACATAACCAAAAGTTGGTTGTTTGAAAAGATCAATAAAACTGACAAGCCTTTACCAGACTGACCAAGAAAAATAAGACAGAAGACTCAAATCACTAAAGTCAGGAATGAAAGAGGAGACATTACTACTAACCTCAAAGAAATAACAAGGATTATGATGGGATACTATGAACAATTATATACCAACAAATTAGATAGCTTAGATGAAATGATCAATTTCCTAGAAACACACAAACTACCAAAACTGACTCAAGAAGAAATAGAAAATGTTAATAGACCTATACCAAGTGATGGAGTTTGGATGTGTTGTCCACTCTAAAACTCATGTGGAAATTTGATCTCCAATGTGGCAGTGTTGGAAATTGATTGAGTCATGGGGGCAGATCCCTCATGAATGGATTAATGCTCTCCCTGGGGGAGGGGAGAGTAATGAGTGAGTTCTCATTCTATTAGTTCCTGCGAGAGTTGGTTGTTTAATAGACCCTGGCACCTCTCCTCTCTCTCTCTCTCTCTCTCTCTCTCTCTCTCACACGCTTCCTCTCACCATGTGATCTGCTTGTACCCGCCGGCTGCCTGCCACTTTCTGCCATGAGTAGAAGCAGCCTGAGGCCCATGCCAGATGCAGCTGTCCCAGAATCATAAGCCAAATAAACCTCTGTTCTTTATAAATTACCCAGTCTCAGGTATTTCTGTCATAGCAACACAAAACGGACTAATACACCAAGTAAAAGGATTGAGCTAGTATTCTAAAAAGTTCCCACAAAGAAAACCCCAGGACCAGAGGGCTTACCTGGTGAATTCTACTACATATTTAAAGAACTAACATCAATCTTTCACAAACTCTTCCAAGAAACAGAAGAGGAAATATTTCCCAACCTACTGTATAAAGCCAGTATTACACTGATATCAAAACCAGAAAAAGCAATCACAAGAAAACTACAGACAAATACCTCTTATAAATATAGACTAAATTAGATAGGGATGATGATTGCACAACTTTGTGACTATACTAAAAAACACTGAATTGTACACTTTAAATGAGTGAATATTATGGTAAGTGAACTATATCTCAAAAAAAGGTGCTAAAAAAAAGATATTCCTGGTGAGGAATTGTAGACACAATAAGAATTCCTAACATTCACCAATACCTGAGAGGTTTACAAATAAAGTTAGGCAAGAATTAAGCAAGGCTGGGGGTGGTGGGGTG